AGACACTTAGGGAAGCCGAGCTCAGGTACTCCCCCATTGAGAAGACGGTGCTGGCCATCGTCCACACCGTGAAGAAGCTGGGGCATTATTTCCAAGCCCACACCGTCCATGTGCTTGACCCAGCAGCCTCTCGGCGCGCTCATGAGGAGCCCCACTAGCTCCTCGAGGATGGTGAAATGGGCGATCTTCCTCAGCCAGTTTCAAATTGAGATCAAGCCAAGGCCATCTATCAAAGGGCAAGCCTTGGCCGACTTCATCATCGAATGCACAGCAAGGGAGACGGCCGTCGCCAACCACGGCCCGGAGCCGGACGACACGTGGACCCTGTTCACTGACGGCTCGTCGGCCGTGAAATCATGCGGCGGCGGCGGCGTCCTCATATCCCCTGAAGGATTCAGAGCCTACTATGCCATCCGCTTCAACTTCAGAGTATCCAACAACGAGGCTGAGTATGAGGCCCTCCTCAGCGGTCTCAGACTCGCCGCCGGCCTCAAGGCCAAGCACCTCAGAATCAAGTGTGACTCCAAACTGGTAGTGGGCCAGGTGGACGGATTGTACGAAGCAAAGGAAGGCCGGATGAAGCAGTACAAACAAGCGGCGGAGGAACTGCTGAAAGCGTTTGAAACCCACGAGATCACTCAGATCCCGAGGGCCGAGAACGCCGAAGCCGACATCCTCTCCAAGCTCAGCTCGGACACCCCGGAGCACATCTCCCAGTTGGCCAAGATCGAGGAGTTGAGCATGTCCAGCATCCATGCCAGCCCCGTCTTGTGCGTCCAACAGGGACCAGAGGACTGGGTCTCCGACATCGCCACCTTCATCACAACGGGGGAATTGCCCCCGGACGAGGAGAGGGCCAAACTCGCCAAACTCAGGGCCCCAAGCTACACCATCGAAGATGGCAAACTCTACAAACGGTCCTATAATGGCACTCTCCTCCGATGCCTGCACCAGGACGAGGCCGACACAGCCATGGAAGAAGTTCATTGCGGCGTCTGCTCCTCACACCAGGGCCCTTTCAGCATGTCCCGGCGTCTCGTCGTCCAGGGTTTCTTCTGGCCGACGATGGCACGCGACTGCGCTGACCTGGCCAGGAAGTGCACCACATGCCAGGTACTCCAGAAGGCCCCTGGTCGGCCAGCTGTCAATTATGCCCCTGTCAGCACCGCAATTCCATTCTTCAGATGGGGGATTGACCTGGTCGGCCCCCTGCCCAGAGCCGCCGGGAATAACCGCTACATCATCGTCGCCGTCGACTACTTCACCAAGTGGGTCGAGGCGGAACCTTTGGCCAGCATCACGGGGGCCAGATGCCAAAAATTTGTTTACAAGAACATCATCACACGCTTTGGTGTCCCCCAGGAGATCATATCAGACAACGGCACCCAGTTTGAGGCAGCCCCTTTCCAGGAGCTCCTCCGGGAGTTTGAGGTAAAGCATCGTTTCTCCTCCGTTGCCTACCCTCAGGGCAACGGGCAGGTCGAGAACGCCAACAGAACGATCATGGAGGGGCTGAAGAAGAAACTCCAGGCCGCAGGAGGTAGTTGGGTCGACGAGCTCCCCAGCATCCTGTGATGCTACAGAACCACGCCGAGGAGGGCGACAGGTGAAACGCCTTTCGCCCTGTGCTACGGCTTTGACGCAAAGGCACCTACGGAAGTTGCTATCCCCAGCCGACGGGTGGAACGATACGAGCCTGACGCCAATGAGGAAAGCATGAAGATTGACCTGCACCTGGTCGATGAGAGGCGTGAGCAAGCTTACGTCCGAGCGGAGAACTACCGGCGTCAAGTAAAATCATACTACGACGCCAAGGTACGTTCCCGGGAATTTCAGGTGGGGGACTACGTCCTCCGCCGAAGGGAAGCAAGCCAGCCGACAGAGGGTGGCAAGCTAGCATTGAAGTACGAAGGGCCCTACATCGTCAGTGCCGTGGTCAAACCCGGCACCTACAAACTTAAACGACCGAATGGGTCCAATGTACCACGAACATGGAATGTACATCATCTGGTGAAGTTTTATCAGTAATCCGAAGGAGGTGTAGACGGCGAAGCCCTCACCCCTTAACGGGTTACTGATTGAACGCCACCCTCGGCCTCGAGCCACTTATGAATAAAATCATGTTCTGATTTTTCTCTGGAATTTAAAGTAAAACATTAGCAGGTGCCCTCGTCGGCCACCTAAGAGCGAAAGGCTCAGGTCTGGCCGACATGGCCCCTTGCATTTGCAGCCTACGAGCGACAAGCTCAGGCACTCCATTGTATTTTGTATCAGCGAAGGGCTCAGGCCTAGCTGAGAGAGCACATCGTCCTGGCCCCGTAAGCCTAGAAGTGAAACACTCAGGTATGGCCGACGATGTCCCCAGGACGAGGGGCCCGCAAACGGCCCACGTCTTGAAACGGGAAGCTCACCGCGTCGTCCACGCGCCAGATCGCAGGACGACAGGCCTGAAATCATGGCCGAGGTGACAAAATCCCAAAACTTAGGGATGGGCAACGACAGCCGTTGGAAACCGACCAAAAGTCTAGCCCGCGTCATAAATAGGCGACGGGACCCGCCCTGAGATCACGGACGTTATGAACGAAGTCCGAACCGGCCGAAGGACGAGCACACCCCTCGGCCGAAGCCTGAAAGAAGGATACCCCCCGAAACAAAACAAAAACAAAAACAAAAAATATATAAGGGAAAAAGAGGGAAGCGGACGGCCGTGCACACTTGTCGGCCTCGAGCAATGAAAAAATAAAATCCCCACAATTCAGGCCCATTTTGGCCAGGTACATATCAGTTGAACACAAGTATAGTACCACAAACAGGTAACATGGACGACGCGTCCACACACTACAAGGGAACAATCAAGGCCGATACACACGCCTATAAAACCCTAACCACATCGGTTGGGTGACACGCGAGAGGTGACCTTCATCGGCCACAGTCCTTTGAGGCACCAACGCTTGGTATGAAACCAAGCATCGCAATCCTGAGGATGACCAGGACGAAGCGGGCACTCATCACACCCGCGAAAGGAACAAGCAATCAAGAAACAACCTCTACTTGCCACAGCACCTCGGATGGCCGACGCAGGCACTGGAACCATAGCTAGCCGACGAAGACAGGACCATCTCCTTGGACAAGCTATTCCTTATCCAGCACCCTCATCGGCCACAAGCCAGACCTTGGCCGGCAGTGGCACCGCGAAGAAGTAAATGCCTAACATTTATACTTAGGAAATTATCTAAGTATTCAAACGAAGGAATTCTAGCCGAAGCGGGTACCAGTATATTACAAAGCCGTTAGCTACCTACACCTCCACATGTGTACTTGTGAAAAATTCAAAGTCCACGAGACTATGGTGAGGGTGCCCTTATCGGCCAGAACACAGGGATACAAGCCGACAACGGCCCTGGCTAAAACACCTGGGATGAATCCAAGGCCAGGACGATAAGGACGCCAACGCCTGGACGGAACGGACACTGCGGTCAGGGCTAAAAAGGGAAGCACCTAAAAGGAATCAAAAACACTTAGGAAATTTTGTGAAAAAATCCTAAGTGTTATGATGGCAAAGGAACAACGGTCAAGCCGACCAGGCCACCAGGCCGAAAGGAAAGCACCTAAGTGGATCCCAAAACACTTAGGGGAATTTTTGAAGCAAAATCCTAAGTGTTATGACAGTAAAGCAAAGAGGCATAGGCCGACCAGACTACTGGACGGGAAGGCCAACCTCACGGACGTAGCGGACACTCGCGGGTGACCCAAGTTATGACTTGATATTTAGACAATTTACAGAATTGAAATGACAAAGCAAACAAGCACACAAGGGATTCAAGGCCGAAAAGGACAGCAAAAATTTCTTCAATTGATAAACTTCATTACAATTGGGGGGCACTACGGCCGTTACATCACTTGGCAAAAAATTGAAAAGCTAATTACAAAAAGTAGACAATCAAGCTTCGGGGGCACCTCCATCTGCGGCCGCCTCATCGGCCTCATCAGCTCCCTCTTCGTCCTCAGCTTCTTGGCCGGCAGCAGGCGCAGCACTGGTAGCATCATCCAGGAAGTCGAACTCAGTATAGTCCGGCTCGCCGAGGCCGGAGCTTTCTATGGGGGACTCCCGCTCCGACAGTGGAAGCTTGGCCTGCTCTTCGGGATCCTTCATCAGCTTCGGCAGCTTCAGGTTCCGTCTAGCCCATCCAGAAGTGTAATTCATGGCCTTCAACGCCCGGGATAGCCGCCGACACAGGAGCCTTTGCATCCGCTCCTGGCCCAAGTTGTAGTAAACGGACATCTCCCGGCTGAAATACTCCCGGCCGGCAGGGGAGTTCATCCCCCAATTCTCCAGCCTGGCGGCCACCACTTCGTAGCACCAGGGGAGCCTCTCATCGGCCTTCCACCCCTCGGCCAAGAACTTCTCAACGGCCTCATCGGCAGCCTTCACGACGGCGGCCTCGGCCTCAGCCCTCGCCTTGGCGACCTCCTCACTCCTGCGCTTCTCGGCCTCAAGCGCCCTGTGGGACTCCGCGAGCTGGCTTTTGCTCTCTTCGAGTTTAACCAGGGCATCGTCCCTGGCCGCGACGGCTTCATCAGCTTTGGCCTGCAGCGCCTTGGCATCCTCCCGGAGCCGGTTAAGGCAGGCTACCGCCTCGTCGGCCGAGGCAGCCTTCTGCTCCAGCGCTTGCAGGCGGGCTATCTCCCAGTACTGCCTCTTATGGATTTCCATAAGCATGAAGGCACTCTGTAGAAGAAAAACAAAGGTCAGGCAAAAACTCTACATAGACGAAGAAAGACAAGAATATAAGGACAATCACTTACTTGGACGAGGAGATCCATGCCGCCCTCATAAATCTTCGGGTCCTCGAGCTTCTTCAAATGAGCCCGATCTTTGGCCGGCATGGCCTTGGCCAGGACGACGTGGCCGGGGACGAGCTCATTAAACACGCCCCCGCCGACGGGGTACTCTATCACTTTCTGATAGGTGGCACCGGCAACCTCCTTGCCGGCCCTCTGCGTCCGTGGTTCCTGGACGAGAGGAAGCGCTGGGGCGGCATCATCAGCAACAGTAAGGTCCACGACGGGACCACCATCGCCCACGCTGGGGACAGTAAGCGTACCGGCCTCACTGGCCGGAGAAGGGGAAGGAGCCCTCTTCGTCTTCTTAGAGACGCTCACGCCGGCCTCGGTCAACTTTTTCTGGCCGTCAGTGGCCGGTCTCTTTTTCTTGGATGGGGCAGGCTTTGGGGCCGCATCTGCAGTAGCCCCGCTCACACCGGCCGCGGCACGCCTGGCCGCTTCGGCCGCCTTAGCAGCAATCTCCTCGGCCGCTTTGGCCTTTGCAATAGCCATCATGGAACGGCGGTCCATGACAAAATCTACAAGGGAAAAGCACAAACAGATTAGTAAGGCAAAGGACAAAACATAAAGACAGAAAGCCGAAGAAAGAATTACCATCGGCCTCAGCAGGAATGCCCAAGTCCGGGCCGTCGGCCTCCTCAAAGGTGGTGGTCATCCTCGGCCAGAGTTGGAGGTCATCCTCCTTGTCACCATAAACATAGTACCTCACGAAGCCGAGGGCGGCCATCTTGTACTCAGTGATGTAATCTTTCACGCTCCTCGGCCCCCCCTCCAGGAAAGCCTCCACCTGAGCGTCCAAAATAGAGCTCTTCAGCGGGTCATGCAGATTAAATCTCCCGGTGTGGCCGAGGGAGGGAAACTCGGTGCCACTCTCACCAATGGACACAAACACGAACTTGCTCTTCCACCCATGAATGGACGTAGGCAAATCCGTGAAGCTCCTCTTCTTCGGCAGCTGCTGAAGAGTAGCGTAGGCCGCACAGTTCTTGTGGCTTCCTCGGCCTATCTGGTACAGATTCATAAATAATGCCGTCATCGGCTTGTAGCCCAACTCCTCACACCGGAGCAAGAACCCCACCATCAAGGAGTAGCTGTTCGGCGTCAGCAAGGCCGGAGGAAGCCCTACCATGTCCAGGTACTCAGTAATGAAAGGGTGAAGAGGAAACCTCAACCCCTTAGCAAAACTCATCGGGTATACTCCAAAGTATCCCGGTGGTGGAAGAAGAACATGGTTTGTCGGCTTGGGCGCCCTAACCCGCCCGAACGGCCCCACGTACATCTGGGCAACCAGATAGTCGGCCGCACTGCTCTCCGGCTTTATCAGGTAGATGTTGGTGAGATCCAAGTAGGAGACGCCGGGCCCACTCTTCGGCCTCCTCACTCTCTTCGGCTTGGCGGCTCCCTTAACGGCGGACACCGGCCTCGGGCACGGAATGACAGCAGAAGTGGACGCCCCGTCCACCACTTGGGACGCACCTACGTCCTCACCCCTTGAAGAAGAGGCAGACTCCTCGTCCTCGCCTTCCTCGTCCATCAGCTCCGCGGATTTGTATGGACTTAAACGCTCTATCTCCTCCTCAAACTCCTCGAGCACCTCGTAGTCAAGTGACCTCGTGGAGGGCTGGTCGTCGTAGGGGTAGTAGTCGTCGTTCAAGCTCTTCATTACTACTACTACGGGCTTAAGGAGAACTTACGATCTAAAGGTGTTTAAATGCCTAACACTAGATCAACTACTTACGGAGCAAAATATGAAAAGTAAGGAAGATCGTGATGAACACTAACCTCAAACAATGAAGAACACGAAGAACAGGCTTGGGAGTTTATCTCTCTAGAAAATCGGCCAGCACTTCGACAAATTCAGAATGCAAATGTGATTCTTCGTCGGAGGGGAAGGGGTATTTATAGACCCCCCCACCAACGGTCACTACACGTGGCACTCCCCCAATGGCCACATCAACGGCCACCACTGGGGGGCCACCACGTCACCAACGGGCCAGGACCAACCCATATCAACGGCCCACCGGCAAATCAGACTCTACGGCCTACACACGCTCAGCGGCTTTACAACTGCCAGCAAGCGCCCACAACGTCCCACTTGCTCACCAAGATCACAAATGCCAAACAATAAGCGGACGGCAACGGCCAGGAACGTAACGGCCACAGAACAAAGGGGACAAATAGCCCACAGCCTTCGGCTCCTCGTAATAACCCTTGATGATAACTCTCTACAAGCGATCTGCGCACAAGGGTTCTCCCACAGGGTTACCTTGGCCAGAACATCGCCATGAGAGTTGGATTCAGGGGGACTACGGCGAGACCACCTCGGCCAGGGACTCAAGCAACTCCTTCACCCCTCACACTCTTCGGCCTGAAGCAGTGGGGGACTGGGGGACTACACCGGCCTCAACAAAACAGGAGTGCGAATAAGGTAACCACAAAGCATGGCCACATCATCCATACAGCACAACAGAACTTCATCGGCCAAAGGCCCATAACGTCACTAGCAACGGCCAACAAGCCACTAGAGGCAAGGACACTCATCGTCCTCCGCCAACAATCAATCTTGACGGGCTCTTTGGCCAAAAACACGAAGGCCAACCAGCAACGGCCAAAAGGAGTGCGCAAACACCCTCATCGGCCACACAAAGGAAATGAGGCCATCGTCCTCAAAGCAAGGAACAACCTCGACGGCTTCACCGGCCCAAACATAAACTTCAACCACCAACGTCCAGGAAAGGGAAAGCGCGCCTTCAACGGCCACCATTCAAAGAAGGACACTCATCGTCCCAAAACAAATTAAGGAAACAACGGCCTCCCCGCTCACAGCGAGGAACAGGTAACGGCCAAAGCACAGGACAGGATCACCAAAGGGGAAACAACGCCAACGCCGCAACGGCTAACGGCCTGGGAATGCCCGCGTCGGCCAAAAGCAACAAAGCACAGAAATCTACTCTCCTTCACTTCGTCTACATCTCAGCTTAGAGAGTGGGGGACTCCTGATGGAGTATATGGGTCTGAGCCCCAGGACCCACATACTCGGAAGAACAGAAAGCACAAGACAACATAGTGGCGCCCTCGTCGGCCAAGACGCCCCCGTCGGCCGAGAAGAAGCCAACTCGGATCATGGTCCTGAGTCCAAGGAACCCGGGTGCCCTCGTCGGCCGTGCCCTCGTCGGTCGTGCCCTCGTCGGCCGTGCCCTCGTCGGCCACGCCCTCGTCGGGCACGAGGACCTCCCAGAATCGGATCCTATACTTACTCATTTGTACAGCCCATTAGAGGCTTTGTATTTGGCCCAGTAGCGGTCCGGTTGTAAATGGGCCTCCCAAGCCCAAGGCTTGGGAGCCCAACCCTAATTTTCTCTATAAATACTCCCCTTGGGAGTAGTTATAGGGGTTACAAATTCATTCTATTGAAGCATATTATTGCACTTCTCTCTCTAGCTCTCACCTCTCTCTAGAATCTAGGAGTTAATACTCTATCAATAGTCGAGAGAAATCATCGAAAATCATGAACGTTTTCTTGTGACATCCTTTTTTAAGTATGAATACCTATATATTGGAGTTTTGAGAGTGACATGTGAGTATGATATAAAAATTGTAGTATGCAGTGACTAAGGAAATCTAAAAAGTTACGGAGTATAATTTAGGGAGTGTTTGCAATAGCCAAAAAAAGTGATTTTCAGCTTCTAGGCTAAAAAAGCTGAAATGAATGTTTTCACCATAGCTTCTACTTAAGTTAAACATTTAAAAACTAAAAGTTGAAAGCAAGTTAAGAGGTGTTTTAAAGCGCTTTTCACTTTTACTATTACACAAAAATCATTTATTTTATCAAAACAACCCACTTTTACTTTTTCAAAAGCACTTTTTCTTAAACACTATTAACTTTTACTATTAAACACTTTATCTAAACACTTCAAAACCCCACTTTTTTGGAGTAGAAGCAATCACACACTCCCTTATAAAAACATCGCTCATAATGAGGTCTTCAATAATTGTTAATTGTGTTGATTAAAATTCTATTTATTTATGATTGCTCTCATTCGTGTGATAAATAATACTACCTCCGTCCAATCGAAAGGTTCACATAACAAAACGGCACGTTATTTAGATAATAATTAAATAAGGTAATTTGAGTATATTTTGAAAAATAATTTTAGTAGGTATGTAATATAATGTGGTTAGTATAGATAACTATGATGTTGTAAATGTATTATTTTTTATTTAATGATTAAATTGTTATTTACAATTGTTAATTGTTTTCTAAAATAGAAATGAGAACCTTTATATGGAACGCCCAAAAGAGAAAAGTGAAAACCTTTATACGGGACGAAGAGAGTAATATAATTTTAAATAAAGTTATAATATTAATTTGCATATTACATCTCGTGCAACGCACTTGTGGAAAACTAGTAAACCTCAACAGGGAATGTAAGGTACGCCCTTAGATATGAGCAGCCTTGCTGCATTTTGTTAATATTCGAAAACCCCATCTAGGTACTGTTCTTGGCTAAATGCTTTATTTTAGTCCAATAAAGTAATAAACTGGTGCTATTTTCGATGGATTGTTTTGCTATTTCATCGTTGCGTAAGATTGGTAAGCGGTAAGGACGTATCCAGGATTTCAAATCAAGAAGGGCGAAAATTTTTGTTAGAGTAGCGGGTCATTTTTTTCAATGGTGTGGCAGGGTGAACTTTTTTTGCTAGTGTAGCGGGCTGAATTTTTCACCAGTACGTGTAAGGCTCTGCGGTTATTTTTATTCAAAAAAATCATTAATACATACACGTCGACATTTTAATCTATATCTTTAATTTTATAATTGAAGAGCTTTAGGAAAAAAGTATTGATACATTAAATCGTAAGAAATGACAAATAAAAGGAAAATAATTTGAAAATAAAAAAGATATATAACGTTTTATTTGAAGATAAAGAGTTTATAAGGAACACATTCATCAATACTTTTAAAACAACTTCTACATTGTTTAAATACATGAATCTTATAAAAATAAAGAATTTATTTTTTAATTACAATTTTTGCCTACCAAGGAGGATGTTCATGAGTCACGAGGACTTTTCTTAATATTATAATAGTATGTATGAGATTATTCTTTTTAGAATAATATTATATTGGTAATTTATATATATTGTGCATATTATATTTGTATTAATGCTAAAATAAGTTAAAATTTATTATCTATGCAATAAAGTCTTTTTAAAATGTAAGATGTAAATGAATTGTGTAATTTAATGTCAATAAACATTTATATTTTGGACTCACTTCATATCATTTGTAAACTGTGTGACTAGTGTGTCTGGTATTTAATATCGTTTATTATATCTTACTATATACAAAAGGAAGTGGAAACTTAGCCATCTTTCCCGCCCAAAATCACGGGTCAAAAAACGGGTAAAAAAAAACAGGTCCGATTGGTTGAAAAATAGTGTCCATGTAAGGCATAGTAGCTGTAATCCGTAGGATAATAAGACTCTCCAACTCTTTGTCCAATGTTTTTCTTGAACACGTGAGTGCACTGTGCACTACAGCTGTCTGTTCATTGGGTGGAGAACCCACGGAGCTTCCAGAGACATAGAGTTGCACACTTACACTGTAGCTGCGCGATAAATAATGAGCCCCCCTCCTCAGACGAGCCTTACATCAATATATACCTACGCCGCCCTAAGCCTCTGCATCAGGAAGCCGACTCCAGGAACCGGTGACGAGGCTCTTGACTCACAACACGCTATCGTGTAACATCAAGGGAGTAACAAATGGATTTCCTCTTCTGATCGAGGTAGAGA